TTTTTTTTTTTTTTTTTTTTTTTTTTTTTCCTGAGGAATTCAGTTTTGTCTTTTAGTATCTCTTTCAAGTTGAGGAGAAAATTTGAGGAGATGGAAAGCCAATGTTTAGCTTTCTGTCTCTTAATCACCTCTACTGTGTCAAAAAATAGAACACACAGATAAACTTTCTAGTGCAGGACAGGAGTTATTTAGAACTGCTGATTTTGGGTAACTGCTGATGTGATTACTGGTCTGAAGAGGAATGAACTGTCTGCTCCCAAGTCACTCCAGAGGACCCTTTGTACCTTCTCTTTACTCCCACTTTGTAGCTGAACAGAGTCCAGCCCTAACAGGGAACAGGGGCTTATCCCATGCTGTGAAAATAACATGAAATGAAAAAGTCATACAATTATTCCTATAATATCTCATATGGAGGACAGGAAATAGCCTCTTATTTCCACTCATAATCTCCTGCTGATAATGTCGATATTAAGTAACTGAGTATCTCTCTCAGCAAGAGAAATTCTCCAGAAACTAACAGGTTTAGACAAGTCCTTTGTGCCTGATTTTATCCACTCCTTTTCAATGACCAAGGAATGACTTACAAGTCCTAAAACTTGTGGTTCGCGGGCAGCTCTAACCAAATTCTTGGTTTTAATTTTCAAGTTCCATAGTGAAATAAAAAGAACACTTCTTTTTTCCTTCAGTTTTACTATGACAAATACTTACCAGAAAGAGACTGAAAATACTGCATTGTAAATGCAACCAGAATTGATAAGAGAAAGGTTCCCATGAAGTATATCTGTGAGGACAAGTTTAAAAACATGTTAGATCAATGCAAAGCCCAAGTACTGCTTCCAATAAACAAGTGATTTTTAGTAAAGCAGCAATACATACCAGAGTAGATTGCAAAATATTGTTCCAAAAAACTCTTACATAAAAATAAAGCAATGCTAAGGAGCATGGACTAATTGATTCTTGGTTACTATAATTCCAGCATCTACAAGAAAAACATTAAAATAAATAATTAGTCCTATTCTGCAATTTTGTGACATCTGTCATCTGGGAATCTCAAACTGGTTTGCAACAACCCTCAGTAACTCACAGAAACAAGTGGATATTATCACCACCCTGCACAGGGTGAAATAAAAATTAACAGAAATACCAGATTAACCTTATTCAGCACAGAATATCTTACTGTGGACACCTGCTTTTATTTTCTGATTAGTCAATAACTGGTCTAAGCATCAAGGCTCTCCTTGCCAAGCAGACACATATAAGGTCATATCCGTTGCTTTGTTCTAACTAACATAAGTCATTATCAGTAAGATTCACAGCAAGGTCAGATCTACAAAATTTAGCTAGGTATGCAGGAAATTGTGAAAGAACTTAGTAAGTGCCTTAGCCAAGGAGCTACTGGGCACCGTGTTGTAGGCTGAGATTAGCTGCTTTCTAGGATTCATTAATGACAAGTTCACTGGCTAGAGGAGTTTGGATGGCTAAACCACAGGCACTTATTTTAGTTGCAAATGACTCTTACCAAGTTGAGGAGATTGGGGGTGTGTGTGAGGGGTGGGGGGAGGCTGCTACGCCTCTGCAAACAGGGCCAAGATGATAGGAAACCACTGCAAAGCCTTCAGCTCTGGAGTTAATCCCTACTGCAAAGTGGCTGGATTCAGCCCAACTGACACCAAAGTTCAGAATTCTGGTGTGAAACCCAGTGGGACCAACTGGGTCAGGAAGCCCTATTCATCTGACTAGTGGTTTTGTGCACACGGGAGATAGTTTGGGGCACAAGTACAAGCTCAGACTAACTAAGGTGAAGAACAATTTCAATATAGTATTGGTGAATTGACAAATGGATGTTTTATGTTATCAATCATCTTCACTTTTTAGAGTCACATAACACTGTCAAAATAAAAAGTAAAGCACTGATTCTTTGTTGAACGTATTATCCACTAGTTCCTTCTTCCTTGCATATCTGAAAGATGGTTTTTTAAGTACGTACCGCATAAGCTTTATGTTTGCACTGTGCTTTTCAAATCCACATTGACCTGTCTAGGAAAAGAGCACCCAAGATCTGTACTGGGACCAGAGTTGTTTAAGCACATGCGTTGGCAGCATGGGCCATAGAGAAAGCAGATCTGAAACCTTCTCAGTGATCTAATATTCTGTGCCAGGACATGCACAGGAGGATGTTTTGGGGTGCAGGAAGAGAAGAAAAATAAACTGAATACCTGTGAAATTGTCCTTGCAGAGTAAGTAGGAAGGACTGCTATTATCCCAGTTACATACGTTAACAATTCCTTATACAATTATGCCTTATTTGGCATTGAAAGATTATTTTGGACACAACATTCAATTGTCAGTGCCTAACAGAACTGGAAAAGATCTCCTGAATTACAAAATCTGTTCCCTCCTATTCCAGGCAACCATGTATATCCAGGTCTCTCATAATTAGCTGCAACTGAAGTCAATTTAAGCAGTTTAAGATTAACACTCATTACAAGCATGTTGATCTTACCTCTGTCTAATCTGCCTTAAATCTTACAGGTGAACAAAGTTAATAATTCTAGGAGTTGTTGCTTTCAGAAGCAAATGCTACTTACATGGCAGAACTGAAGGTACTGAGACTGTTGCTGATGAAGCACAAAAAGGCTCACCTGTAGTAGAGTTCCTGAAGAAGGGAAGTATTGCTAGAATGCACAGTTTGATCAATTTCCAGGTGATCCAGAATGTAGGAAGGGATGGAATTACCCTCTTCGATGAGAAGGGCCAAGTTAAAGAATCCCTAACAAAAAAACCCGAAGTATATGCACTTTGAATCATTAAGTTTTCACATGTGTATTTGAAGTCTAACATAAGCATGATATATTTAAATAATTACAATCATCCAAAAATTCCTACAATGTGAACTACATGATCTTTGCTGAACAGTAACACGGCCTTCTTTCCCAAACATATACTCAGGTGAATTCTGAAACTGCAAATGAACCAGCATTCATTTGCTGTGACACTGATCACTATTTTCCTAAAAACTGGCTGAAAGAGGTTCTTAGCTTTCTGTTTTAATTGCACTTTAAATAGAGGCACCATAGTGAACAGTCAGGTTTTATCTACTGGAGAAATACAGTCTAAAACAAAAAAAACGTATTCATACTGTTCTGTTAGCAGAACATTTAATTTCCTTACGCTTAGTTCATTATACACCAACAGCAATTGCAATAGTGATTCTGAGAGCAGAAATTTGCTCCAGCCATTTTATATCTTTAATCTTATCCTTAAATCCTAAGTGTCACAGAGACACAGAGACATGGGGAGAGCAGAATAAAGTATCAGGGATGCTCCAGGAGATTGCAGGCAGAACACGGCATGTCTTCAGTAGTGTGACCTGGTATATCATTTCATTATTAGGCATTGCTTATTTCCTAAAAAAAAAAAGCATCATTTGCTTATTTCCTAAAACATTAACTAATAGCGCTGGAATAAAACTCAGGCAGTTTATTTATTACCTTACATTACTGAAAATACAAAGGTCACAACAGAATCAACTGTGTGATAGCAGTGGCACTTAATAAGGTCATTCAGTGTCAGCTCTGAAAACAGCCTAATTCTAGGTTATCTGTTTATTTATTCTAGGTTTATCTTCTATTAAACAGCAAATACTGACTCGTGAGGTTTTTAGAAATGAGTATAACTTTTCTAGCAGGTGTGTTCAGCACACACATGTAGCCAAACCAAGTAAGTTTCAGGTGTTTCTGAATGCTGGTGTTTTATGAACTGTCCCAGTTGCAGCCCCACCTGTGAGTCTCCCTCTAAGGCAGCCTGCGCGTACATCCGCACGGAGAGCTCCAGGTCTTTAGACTGGTTCTGGTAACCGTAGTAGTAGAAATCTCCCATTTTCAAATAAGCTGCAGGAGAAAACAGCAAGAGATCATTTAAAGCATTTGCAGAGACAGAATTTAACTACAAGTGTGATGGAGAATTTAAAAATAACTCAATTTAAGACAGCATATTAAAAACAGAGATATTCCTTTCCTCTCATAGCTTCTGTGGCTACTTTCTATCAGACTACCTAGTGAAAATGTTTATCCTTGCTCTTTCTCTCGGTTGCTTTTTAATAGATGAATTTAGTGGAAAACTTTGCTACATTTTCAAAAACTGAGATTTTGGAGACATCATATTGTATTTCTTCTTCACTTACTGAGTTCTTTGAGGGAACTGTAGCCCTACTATTTAGATTAACTCCTATCACACTTAAAAAACATGCTATTTAGGCACCTGTTCTGTACTTGTCACTATGATAGCTCTCCTCACTCCAAAAATACGGAATACTTGGCTGAAGTTAACTTCATTGATTTCAAATCCAAACTATTTCAGGGTGACTGTAGGAGAAGACTTCTGGTCTAAAAGCAGAGCGATGCCTGTCAAATCTTTTATGAATATCCTTCTCCGATACTGCACAGAACAGAAATGCCCCGCCAGACGAGTGCAAGCATGTCACTGCACTGAACAACGCTGAGGAGTTCATAACACACGCTAGGCCTCCCCTCAGCCTTCCCTTGGAGCTCTGAACCACCTCCCAGCCTTGCGCCGTGCACTGACAGCATCAGCTCCCTTTAAATCCCACCTGTCTGTGGCGCGGGCCACAGTAGGGCCCTTCTGGGAGGCGAGCACACCGGTCGCTGCTCCCACAGGCCCCACGGCGCCAGAGCGAGCGGGAAGCATGGAGAAGAGGGCTCCCCTCAGGTGAGGGGGCCACCAGCCCAGCCAGTGGTCTGGATGTCACTGTTGTCACCCCTGTGGTGACGGTGGAGCCGGGAGCCTCCCCTGCCAGGGTTCAGCAGCACAAAGCTCACGCAGGCTCTCGATCCTCCTCCACTGCTGCCGGCAGGCGCCACAGACACAACTCCCCACATGCGACTTATGTGAAGGAGAGGTAAAGAAATAAAATCCTTCTGCTGCTGTGGAGTCTTCTGTCCTTCAGCTCAGCCTTACCTGCCTGAGCCTCAACTTCAGGTGCTTCTCTCATGTCACACTGCACCAGGGGCTCTGCAGGAGTCTGGCCAAACTGCACACTGCAAAGCAGGCTGCAAACGCTTTTCAAGAGCCAGCAGTTCCCGTGGCTTTAGGCTCTATCAGTGTGTTTTTATATTTCAGAGCTGCTGTGTTTTTCAATAAATAGCTTCAATAATTTTGACACTGCACTTGTCCATATGCTTAATGCTAAAGCATTTAAACTGTCTTGTGAGACAACCATGTCAATGCTTTCAAATACTGAGTAACTCTTTAAAAAGCACCAAAATGACTTAGTCATTTATTGAAGTCACTGAGGTATTGAAATTTAGGGCCAGGTAAAAGGTAATTAATATCTGAATAAACCTTACATTCTAGAAAGGCATATTTTTTTTTTGAGAGAGACACAGAATCCTTAAATTCTTCCAGGTAATCTGTGTCAATGTTACTAAACTCTGTACCCTAACAGAAAAAAAAAAAAACCTCACAATAAATTAGATAAGGAATCCTTTAGCCTTCATTAGTTTCTCGTGACTCAATTGTGATATGGAAGTATATTGGCTTTTGGCTTTTCTCTTTGATAAACTAAGCAGCACGAACTCCTAAGGTCTACCACTGCTTTTCTTTTAACCCTTCAGTCAATTGCTTAGGCTCCTCTATCTGTAGCCCTCTTTCAGAGCTCGACTTGTAAAAAACATTTTATGCATTTTATCCCATAAAAGGGAAATTTTCCAAAAAAACTGCTCTGAACCATATTCCGTAAATATATTTTTTTCTGTTTTTCCTGTCAAAATACTCTAAAAAGGAACACCATAAAAAGCAGGAAAAGCGCTTAAAGATGACACATTAAAAAAATGTAGCATTTTTGTAGAAGCTCAGTCATTGTACCTTGCTATTGCAGAAATAAGAATGGGCAAAAAGAAAAGGACAGATTAGCTTTTAGCACATGGCGCAATTTGAGGATAGAGAAAGCAGAAAATACTAGACTCCATGTCTGGCCTTTACCCTTCCCTTAACTTGCTCACTCATACAAAAGTAGAACATTCATACAAACATAGAACTGAAAAATGAGAACTGCACTCCTTTAGAGATCTGAAATCAGAAAGAGATTCTTATACATACCAAATGAGGGCGCATTGATTTGAGAAACGGAGAAATTATAGTATCTCCAAACACAATCTGTTGCTAGGTATTTCTTTGCCAGATCCTGGAAGGAAAAGGCATTCATCCATTTACATCACAGATAAGATATTAGGATCACATTATCATTAAAGACCCTTCCCTTCAGGAGGGTATGTTATGAACACGTTTACTCACTGGTCTTTCTTCACAGATGTGTGCTAAATTTGACTGTGACACTTCAATCCCAGTTTCAGCTGCTAAAATATAATGCAGGAGAGCTTCATGCCTAATTAGACAGAATAAATCAATGGGAAGAAATCACAAACATTTTAGTTATAGCTAAATAGTACTAAATAAATGGATATAATCTCTTAGCAAATTTGGGTACAAGTCCTAATCAAAAGCAAGAGGCTGGCAAAGCCTTGCAACAGCCACATCTACTGGCAACACTGGGTGTAACAAACTCTGCAGGAGCTCAAGGAACTTCAGTTTTCTCTCTTGTACTAATGGCAACACAGCTCAAGCTGATGATAAAACTGGATTGATACTGAGCACAATTAGCTATGTAAATGTTTCAGATAAATCTTACCTTAAAAAATCCCCCACTTAAGCTCTGTAATTCATACTGCTGTGTTAGTATCTGCCCAACAGGAATCTCAGTACTTCTTTGGTATGTTTTGTTTTATCCTTTTATTTCTAAGATTTGCTTTGTATGTTTAGATCATAAGGTCTGTGGAGCAAAAAATGTCCACGCAAGTGAACAAACCCTAGAATAGTCTCAGTCACTCTACGGACTCTACACACTACTGCAAGCAATAAAAGCTAATTTATGTTAATAATTCAAGTAATAAAAGCTATCTTTCCATAATAGTTCAGTACTACAGTACAGTGGTACAGCACTGCCTCTGATTCCAGACTGTAATTTCTCTTTCATGTTCTCTGTCACTGATCTATTTAATATTATGAAGATTAAGTAATCAAAAATTAACAAAATTACTTTCTTTAAAACGGTGTGTTTGGTCTGAGGAATGAAAAAGGTCAATCTTTGTGTAGTTTTCCCTGTCAGAGTTTCAGAGAGTCATGTTTTCAAGTTGCTCCACAACATAAAGCTAAAACCCATGCCAGACTTCGGGATTTGCTGGTTTGCTTAACTGGAAATAAGTATGGTCCCCCATACATTTGATGTCAAAAAAAGTCATTTAAGTCAAGAACCTTGCAAAAAAATGGTGAAAGCATTTGCCCCTTACAGAACAAGCAGACTTAATCTCCTGCTTCCCAACTGCCTGTGCAAGATTCCACTTTTTTCTTTGTATTTGTCTTGCAAAAATATCTGGGATCTTGGAGATCTGGAGCACAGGACTAATGCATGATGCCTAAACTGGGATGCTAGTTCTAAACGAAAAAGAAATCTCTCCTAGGAATGGATTACTCCAAACTGATCCTCTGAGTTTCTTGCAGTGAGTTCTTTTAACTCAAGTATTAACTGACTGCTGGCGGGAGCAGGCTGAGACTTTACGAACCGCTGTCTTCATCAAATATGGCAGTTTCTAAGTCCTGATGCCAGGCAAAAATGGAGCATCAGTTTGGAGGCTATTTTAAATCCTCATTGCTTACTGAGTATTTTAGCCTATTAAGATTTAGGGAAAAGATAATATTAACTGTTCAAGGGGGAAAAAAAAAAGAAAAAATCTAATTTAACAGCCATAATTTTCACGACATGGGAAAACTTCTGCTGTCCATGTCAGTTTGGATTATTGGACAGTAAATACACTTGTGAAATATCTTGTCTACTTCTTGAGACTATGCTGACTACTGCTGACTACTCTGAGGTCAGCAATACTGTGTGGGACAAGGCATGTCCCACAATGTCTCATCATTATGCAACAATATTCCTTGTAGTGTATCACTACTTCTAGCTGCTCTGAGTCTTAGATCCCCTAGAATTTGAAAAAAAAAAAAAAAAAGAGTGAAGAATTAAGAAAAATAAACAGAGACTATTTCTTATCAAGAAGGGCTCCAGTACAAAAGCATCACTTGCCTGCACTGGGTTGAGGCAGCATGAAGCTTTCAAGTATGTGCTTTCAGAAACTCTCCCAAATTTCAGAATGGTGTGGGCCTTGTCAGCTATACTGGTCGACATATCACTCGATAAACTCTTTTCCTCTTCATTCTGTCAGACTTGTTGAATTATGCCTTCGATCAATTCCCATTTCCCTTTAAATCAATAGTTGTTTTGCTCAATTTCAAGTACTACAATTTGTATTTTTTGAGGTGACGGCCTAACTTTTTTTTTTATAATGCTAGTACATAAATAAAAAATAGAAAATAAATTTGAAGAGAACAGAACAAACATACCATGAAAGTTCCAGGTAAGCATTAAGAGCTTTTCTGATGACATGACCTAAGTAGCCATTCTTCTCTGCAACATGTTTTGCCCAGCTTTAGAAAGAAGAAATAATAAGGAATGAACAGCTAAGCCCCAGTAACAATCTCCCTGATCAAGGTGTCTCAAACGACAGGAAAGGATTTGAGATCACTCAGCTCGACTTCCCCCATAAGACAAACTATGGGATTGCACAGCAACTGCTGCCTCCAACTTTTAACTGTTGACTGAATGACAATATATTTGTACATACATCTCCACAAGTGTACATATTTTTAGCAAAATTACTTTGATGATAACAAAGTGCTGTAACTCCTCATCATCCTCTTTGTTGATGGAAAACATCCGTTCTACTACATTAGGAGCTTGTTATCTCTTGATAAGCAAAAATGACTTAATTACTTAGAGAGTCCTTGAACTTTTATTTCTGGAACAACTCAGAGCCTGTGCACCAGCAAATACAGATGCTTACTAAAAGTACTCAGCATCTCCGGAAATCTGCTGGATATTTAGATAATACACATATTCATGTGGATCAAACCTAACTGAAGGTGATTTTCTTCTCAGGGAGGAAAATGCCATGCAGTAAAGGATAAGTAAAAAAAAATAAGTAAAAAACTATGTAATTAAAAGTCACCAAAAATCAAAGTAAGCCAACCAGCAAAATATTCTCCATTAACAAATGTTTTCATTCCTTACATTACAGCTTTTTCTGGATCTCTTGGGAAGTCTTCCATATTTCCTGTGATGTAGTACTGAGAGCATCGTAAAGTCCCTTCTATATGTCCCCCTTGAGCAGCTTTATAGAAATATTGTGCAGCTACTGTCTGCAAAGGAACACATCACAATTAGCAATGCTGCATTATTAAATTTACCAAAGTAAATCTTTCCCCTTAGTGAAAATAACATTTTTTTTTCTCACTGACACACTCAAAATTAAATAAACAGGCTGTATCACAAGAAGATAAAATATAATCTTGGTAGATTGTAGTCTTTTATTAAAGAATTACTTTTTGCAAACTTAGCTTAAAGAAATCCCATATAGTCTCAAGGTTCACACAAGCTGTACAAATGCAACATAACTGTCTAAAAGACCTTCTGATTGTTCAGGGACAAGTTTCTATTGCTTTTATTTATTGTGGGAAGTGTCCTTTCATGATCAGGTACCAGAGCATCCACTGGGACTTCTGCTGACCTGGGCAGCAGTTTGAGTCACGGTGGCAAAAGTAACGTCATTAAGAAGGTTTTAAATTTGAGACCAAGGTCCTGGTTGCTGTTAATGGAAGGAGAAAAATAGAGGTAGCTCCTGTAGCTACATCTGCACCTGTTTTGCTCCTCAATTAAAGAACACAAAGATATGCAGGATTAAAAGACCTGAGTAATAGCTTTCAAAGCAACTTCCCAGTACCACTTCTCTCTGTGATGAAAGTGTCAAAATCTGACCCAGAGTGAACACAGTAGCCTTAGAAATGAAGTCAAAATTTGTAAATTTGGCCCTGCTGTACAAAAAAAGAAATGTACTATTAAATATTTACTCACTTGATTTCTACCAGGCTTTCCAGGAAAAATCCCATCTAAATAAAGGACACCGAGGTTGTACGATGCATCTGGATTTCCCAGTTCTTCAGCCATTAACCAGTGTTTAGCTGCATTTCTGTAGTCCCTTTTAAAATTGTGGTAATACCAGCCCAATCCATTCACTGCCTGGGGCAAGCCCTTGAGGAAAGAGAAGAGCAGGCTGGAGTCACACGCGTGGTGCTGCTATGGGTCACCCTGAGGTTCCGTCCTGCTGTGGGACTGTGGGCATTCGGCTTGTCCAGCCAAAATTCCACTCATCTGGGATCTGGGATACAAAAACCCGTTGACTTTTTTGTGGTTTTCTTCCTTTAAGTCTCATGCTGACCACAAACCCTCTCCAGGCTAGGGACAGCCAAGAGATTCCCTCAGAGTCTGTCAGGCTGTTCCTTAAGGAATGATTCCAACCTGAAATGCAACTCTAGCATCTAGAGAGTCCTGTGTCGGTCCGTATTCAGATTTGTATTTGGTTATTAGCAAAGCCCTATGGACATTGGCGGCATTTTAACTAGCTTTCAGAACTAGAACTGCACCCAAGGTCTAGGTGTAGTTATGGTTTAATATAACTACATATGGTTTTATACAAAGCAAGCTGTGGCTTGGCTTATTAAACTGTACTTAATCAGCAAATCACGGAGGCTATTTGCCTCTGTTGTACCCCTCAGTGTTGTTATCCTCAATCTTGGAGAAAACTAAAAGGTTCTGGGTCATCTGTGTCTCCTTGAAGCACAGAGGGTGAGGGGGAAGAGTACAGTCTTTTGCTGATCACCAGCACCCAACTGGAAGAGTCCAGCTTCAAGAAGGCATAATTCTAGGTAGAGTGAACTATCAGTCCCAGCAAAGACAGGAAACTTCACTGTTTACACACAACTATGATGTATGCATTTTATATCTGTCAAGGTGCATTATAATTAGCATTAGCTATAGGATGATTATGATCAAATATTCATTATATTTTACCTTGGCTGCTGCTTTCTTCATCAATTCTAAAGCAAGTTTTATGTTCTTTTTCACACCTTGACCCTAAGAAATGGATAGGTGAAACAACCACAGTTTACAAATAAGAATACAAGCTGATGTAAATTCACATATAACCATTCAAAATGCTTTTTTACAGCGAGCCAAATATTTACTAGGAATTACTCAGCTCTAAAGAGTTACAGTAAAAAAAGAGGCTTTGTGCCAATCACTCCTTCACAGCCTTACACACAAGCTCAATGATCGTTTATCATTTAGCTTTTGGAAAAGCAATTTTACTAATGGACACATACAATTTTTATGGGTAAATAACATCATATTTCTTTACGTTTCAGAAGTTAAGAAAGAATAAGTAGTACCAATAGCTTTACAGACTGTTCACAAGGTGGCAGTGGATAAGAGCTCTCAGCTTTCCTCAAAAAGCTGTTGAGGTGTCTCTAGAGGGCATACATAGATGTAGTGATGATGATATTCATATAAAAAGGTTGCAGACACAGACTGAACCAACCAAGGAGAATCACCTCACTGCCAGGGATGCTCAAAAATAACAGAAGCAAAATTTGAGCAAGTGTTTTATATTGAAGAGCCCTCCATTGGTCAAGGAATAAGGTGAACATTTAACAGGTCTTTACTGACATCTTTAGTCTGTAGTCTTATGGGCCACACTGCTGAGCTGATCCAGTTTGCAAGGTTATGCCTGCAAGTTTAACCTGTGAAATCTGCTGCTAGTTCAGAGGCTCAGCTGCATGGGCAGACTGTTAATTCCCACTCGAACAAAAATTGGGCTTAGATACCTAAGAAAGGACATTCTGAGAAACAATTTCACTTCTACCTGCATCTCTACACCTAGGCCTATGCCTACTAGCGGGCTAGATCTTAGGAGTTGCCAAGCAACTAGGAAAAATGGGTCTATGATTTCAATTGGATTTTGATCCTGAATCTGTCAAGGAATGAAATCACTTAATTGTTTTAAGTTTACTCTTATCTTTCAGATATATACATTTTTTGCGTACCTGTACAAATCATAATTACTAAGTGATTTTCAGAGCTAATATGAAAGTACTGCGTATGCTCTCACAACGTGCCACTGCAGATAAATTAAGAATGTTCATACATGCAAAACATTTACAATTTATCTGTAATGACACATTTTTTACTCAAAGAAATGAAATTTTGAAGTGAAAACATGAAACATGACTTACCTTAAATAACACAATAGCATAATCATATATTAAGACTGGATCTTCTGTTTCTATTGCACCCTTTTCATACCATTCTATTGCTGCTTCAGGATTTTTTGCAACACCCTGCTGGCCCCAAAACAGCATCTGAGCCAATCGTTGCTAAAAGAAAACAGGGCAAATACCAGTGTGAGATGCATTAGCATTGAAGCTGGAGCCAAAGGAGCAAACTTTTGCAGGCTTAAGTGGGATTTAGATATGTGCAGAATGTTTCATGTTCCAGACACTTTGAAAAGGACTGGCTATCAGTAAACTTCTGAGAGGGTTTCCAGTGGTTAAAGGACTGGTGTACTGATCAAATGGCGTATTCATAATACACCTACAGCAGGGTTAGTTTTTGCACGTGTTGATACTAGGAAAGTTTCCTTTGATTTAAGTGCAGAAGAACACGGTGAAGGCACCAGTAAAAGCATGCTAATGCCTCGGTATTACAACACGTGATGCCAGTCTGAGACCAGCAGCAGCAAATGCACAGTGTCAAACACACACCAGAGGTCAGAGATAAGTGGTTGCAATGCTGACTCCTGATGACCCTTTCCTTTTTGCCTTGCATCATTCTTAGGGCTGTTTTCATGGTCACAGGACGCTGTGAGGCAGAAACATGGGATTTAAGCTCACAGGCAAGATGTAATTCAAGTGGGATGGGGGCAAGTTGGTCTCCCCCGTGTTCTGCAGACCTACATAAACAGTGTGCCCGTGAAAAGAAGGGGAAGCCTCTGACTCTGTACCTGTGCAGCTGCATTTCCTCTTGTTGCTTCATGTTTTAGCCACATGAAGACATCACCATTTTCTTTTGTTTGAGCTTTCAGCAGTTCATCATCCATCAGCCTCACAGTTTCAACAAATGCCTGAGGAGGAGGTGAACAGAAGGAAACAATGACTTCATACACCTACCAACAAATGGAAATGTTGTCTTCTGCTTAAAAAAAAATGTAGTCTATTCTTGGTCTCAAAATTCTCACTGTCCCTTTGCTGCCAGGGCATTATACTCCGTGTAAAACCTCTTGCTGTGTTTTCAGGCAGATCATTCACATTGTCCCTTTCTATCTTTCAAGAGTTTGTCCAGCAGCCTGGCCTACAGACCAGCCTAAACAAGGTTTCTGTCGCTCTGCTTTCTCACAGCAATCGGACAGAGACTTCTAGGATAAGCAGCTCCTAGGGACGAGAACCACAGTGAAGAATCTTTGACTTACTTAGGACTCTTCCTCTCTAGCACCATAAGGAGTTATTTTTTCCCCTGAGACGTACAATTTGCTTTAGAAAAAGGAGAAAAAGAAGGCAGAAAATAAAAAGAAGGAATAATATGGACATATAAAGGCGAGATGCTCGTTTTCATCATCAGGATTTAGAGAAGCTCACCAATAAAATAATTTGTGATTTCAGGCTCCAGACATCACAGACATACCCAAAAAATGGGCAGCAGGAATCACACGTTGAAAGAGGAAAAGAGATATACTTATTGGGGGGGGGGGGGGGGGGAATCAGAGAGGGAGGAGAGAGGGATAAATAAGGGCACATACAGGCTTTGCAAGGTTCTCAAGAGAAAACAGCACTGAGAACTGAACCCATGGAGTGTTTGGAGACTCACAGTTTCCAAAATTCCTGTAGGCAACAGAGAATGCAAAAGCACCACAATCCCTCAAGGAACAGAAAAGCATCAAGAACCCCAACGGCGCGAAGCTTTCTCGGACGCCACCGAGGGAAAAGCCACGGCAAAAAGGCAGTTCCTAACATGACTCTGCTATAGCCCTGTAAGTGAGGCAAGGAAGGCTCAGGATCAACGCTGCTGTAAGACATAGCGCTCTAATCTAGGTGACTCTATGTCAGTTTTCAGTTAAAATTTTGTTTTGTTTTCCCCTACTACAATAATCAGTAATAATTCTTGCTGATAGACCTGGATTCTCGTACTGGTCTACATTGTTAAGTATTTTTATGGACAAAGCCACATTGTCTCATGTTCGGCAGCTAGTTCTGAAAAGATTTTGCTGTCAAGTTTCCTTCCTTAAATAGATATTAAATGGTCAAATTTTCTATATTTGATTATAGAAAAAATACACAAAGGGAGAGGACAATTCACCTTTCACTTGAACTTAATGAAGTTTTGCTACTGAAATAGCAGACCAGACAAAAAATCACGTCCATTTAAATGGATAAGAAACTGGGCAAGGAATTAGGGTCCAAAAACGAGACTTAGATTTTACTGAAAAAAAGGCACACGGGAGAGATTTAAGCCTAGCTTTGTTTTGGATTGCCCTTTCCTACAAAATGAATTAAAGATACTTACACATAATTTGGGGGATTATGTAAGGATTAGATGAATTAATGCTTGCAAATCATCATAAAGAAGGAAATGTTCCATCTACATGACTAATATTAACATATGAAAAGTCATTTGCACAGAGAAATTCAGGCACGCTTTAAACTCTTTTACCTGTTCCCCTGTTATTGCGTGTTGATCCAAGGACGTCTTGATTGCAATGTTACTGTAATAAGCATACGAGAGCTCCAGGTCGAGTGGATAGTTATTAATGCCTTGGTAGTGTTTGTAGCCAAGATTCATCACTGAAAGTCTCTCATCTCCCTGAGCACCAACCAAACTATACAACAGACCCTGGGAAAAAGCAGCAGACATAAATAACAGTGAATTCTTCATACAGGTTTACCACTGTGGTGGGAATTTAAATGCTGTATACAAAGACAAGAGTGCTCCTATCAATAGGAGCTATACTAGCTATATCGGGTAGACATAAAAGCAGAATTTTGCATAGCCCTGGAGTCTCCTATACACATGGAAAGCTTTGAAAGAAAAACTAATCTCTCTAACTACTAAATTACTTCTCAGGTATTGCCCTTACTCTGCCACCAAGTATGTGGTTTAGGCCACTGCCTTATGTGCATACTCCTTGGTACAAGTGCACTTGCTCATGGAGATGTGCTCTTCCAGGGACATATAAAGGCATCTTCTCTTTCTTTGATGTCGCAGGGCAACACATACAAATGTTTCTACCTGAAAATTCTGGAGTTCATACGTGCTGTGCAGTTCCTCATCTGAACCAGAGCCAATTTTCTCCTAAAACATTTTTTCCAAAAATACGAAGGTGCTCCCTATCCAATTTTAGACAACTACAAGCAATCTAGATGGCTTCAGAAGTCACTGTATTTAGCAACATAACTGATCTTTTTAAAAGCAGTGATTTAAGGACTCAGTGAGATTACGGACTGCCATGGACCAGCAGCCCTCACGTGGCCAGTTGTCAGATCTATCCAGTAACTCTCTAAACACTCTTATTCAGGCAGTTCTAAGTATTTGACCATGTTCCCAGTGCCACATTTTTGCACAATATGCCATGGGACTTCTTTCACAACAGTATCATGCAACCTTTTCACTTTAGGAGACTCTCCTTAAGTGAGACCCATCTGTGATTAACTTCAAGTGACTCAAGGGCCACCCCCTCGTCCTGTCTTCTCAGGGACTGGGAAAAGCCTTATGTTCCATGCTGTTCACTTCACAATCTCCTCTAGATCTCACCAAACCATTTGTTTGCTTCTTCTGGATGAACAGGATAAAGACTCCTGCCATAAAGACTTCAGTATCACTGGGCAATTCAGAAGCAGCCATACTGGGGAGTTCTTTCAGCTGCAGCCTGAACAGGGATCTGGTGATCAGATGAGGCAAGAAAAGCCATTTTCATTTCACTTTTTCTTTCTTTCTTTTTTTTCTTCTTCTAATAAGCCTAAACTCATCCCATTTCATAAACTGCCATTAAAAGCTAATTAATTTTGGAGACATAACCAAGTGGGTTAAGTATATTACCTTGGAACGATCCACAGGCACACCTAGGCCTGTTTCAAATATAACTGCAAGGAAATAGGAAGCCTTGTGGTATCCACAGCAACTGGAATCCAGCAAGAGAGGGATAAAGGAGCCTGTATTGCTTAAGCCATCTGTGCTGGAGAGACCCTTTGCAGCCTTCTCAAATATCCGCCAGCCAACTTCTAGAACTGCATCATTTTCATCTTCTAGCACTAGAAATACAACACAGGATGCACAGTTATTGCAAGAGTTTAAATTAGGAATTTATTTCACCTGCTTAATTCAACTTTATTGAGTCAGATTTTGATATTCCTTCTCAAGCTGAACAGCATTCTCAATGCAGGCTGTCGATATTCCAAGATGCAAGGAATTACTGAATAAAAATGGTGAATCCAAATCAGAAGGGCTATCTTAAAGTAGCCCCTACAAACATAATTATATCTCTATTTATGCCTTCTACTTAAAAAGCCATCCTCATTTGCAATGTAACATGTAAGCTACAGGAGACTTCCTTGCTAAATTAAATGATACAAAGAAAAAAGTCTGTAAAACATGAACCAAAGCCAAAGCATGCCAACCTGTATCATATATATTTGTGGACTTATTTTGTAACAGTAAGATAAAATATGATTACCATCTGGTGAGCTGAAATCCATTTCTTTCAAGAGTTTGAACAAAAGATGGTATTTTTCCCTGAGTTCTTTTCCCCACATGAAGGCATCGCATTTGGACTTCTCTCCATATTTGTCAATTAGCTCTGAATAATAGTTTTCATAGACACCTAGAGAAAATGAGGTATTTAAGACCTGAAAACTGACATGACTGTTCTTTAAAACAAACTTCTAGTAGGAAAAAAAAACAGTTTCAGGGTAATTGTTTTTTAAATTGATAGACAAAATAGCTTAGGCATATTGTTCACACAAAGCAGGGTAAAAAAACTGATATAGCCAGCACAGGCCACATAGGAAAACATTCTATTCCATAATCTTTCTCAGGGAAAATAATCAAAATCTAATTGGAAACAAACTGATGTTCAGCACGCATTTAAATTGTGCTACCCCTCCTTCATTTGCTTCAGTATAAGCCTGTCAATTAAATTTCCATCAGGCAACAGTTGAAGAGAAGCAAACTTTGTACAGCTGTGGGGAAGGACTTAAAATACACATGCTTTTGGGTCATTTGGGAATTAAGCTGAAGAAAGCAAATGTAACAGCTTTATATTTATGCTTCCAAACATCTCTCTTTCCCTTTATGTGACTGTCCTTTTACAGGAGAAATATCAAGAACACAATTTAAATGTATATTTTACAACACAAAAGTTTTTGCAGGAACAGAAACATACTTTTAACCAACAGTAATGAGACTAAGCCCTCTCAAATCACTTTTTAAAATTATTATTTTTATGCTTATAGCCAAGTTTAGGTTTACTTTTGATAATCACTATTCAGTCTCTTGTAAAAGAAAAGGCAAAAGGCCTCCAAAGATGACAGTTTAAAATACACATCTCACAAATGGATACTTACAGTCTTGTTGCACAGCCTGGCCTTCACTCACAATGTCTCTGTACTCAGACACTATTTCCTGAACATCCATACATCGCTCATAGTAGATCTCAATTTGTTCCATTATTTCTTCGTCATAAAGGGGGTTAGAAATCTAGACAAAGACAAATAACTGATAAATGACAAGTACTCTGTTGTTCCTGACAAGCTTCCTATTTCTCAGGAAAGGGCTTGTTCACAACAAAGATGTATTTTGTTCTTGTGCCAGATAACCTGATGCTGATCACAACAAACTATGGCCTTAGAGAGACAGAATGATCCAAGATATAGCAGATGGATTTCCAAACTCAGTCAAGCCTATGGGGCTTTCACTACTGGTTTCAACAAAACCATAAATTAGACCTCAATACTGCATCAGCAAAGACTCTGAGAAACTGATCATGACTGAAATGTAAGTCCTTACCTACAAGCAGATTTAGGAATACGGTTTTCACATGCACCTTGAGAAGCCTTGTCTTTTAGCATCTGAAGCAGTACCTAACTTTCCTTCCTTTCAGTGGAAAATGCTCATACGTGGCTTGCACATTCCCAAGTTCTATTGTGCTTGATGGCAGGTTTATTACTTACTAAGAGCTTCAGTAAGCAAGAAGCTCTTATGTCTGCACCGAATACTCTTATGAGCCCAGTGAAATTTCCCTAGGTAAAAGAAAATCATAGCTGGCGGGTGACACGTAAGCACTGTCTAACACTGCTTTTGTTTACCTGTTCTGTGTCCAGCACACTCAGGCGATAGTATTTCACAGGACCAAAGAATGCTTCAATACCATTTGCATACCCACTGCCTCCAAGAACAAAATATCCATCCGTGTCATCATAATAGAAATCTTCCCTAAAACTTAAGAACACAAGAGAAAAAGAAATGGCTGTCAGTAGGTACTATGTATGATAGAAAAAGAAATTTATATCTCATAATTCTGGTCACTGACAGCCTAAGGTTCACTGCCAGCATCTTTTTCTACTGTGAAAGAAAAATAAATTTATATTTCGTATCTTTGGTCATTGCCAGCCTTAAGTTCACTGCCAGCATCTTTTTTTTTCTCCCTCCCATCTGTTTACTCTCAAAACCTTTCTGCAATCCAATACGGAAAGTTCTGGAGCAGATTGAAGAAATGCCTTATTACAAACATTAAAACACCAGGGTATTTTCTTTTGCTGACACTGCAGGTGAAACTTTATGCCTCATTAAACAATCTCAAAGATTTCAATTTCTTCTCCTTCTGCACTTCTCTGTAAAAACAGCATGAAAATTTAAGTTCTCAGACCCTTATAGTTACTAGCTGAATATTTACAGTTTCCAGTCCGTAAACCACAATGGGGAAGAGAAAGAACGACACTGAAATCTGCCACATAATTTATTATTATATGGTTTCCATATGAAAAGCTTTTTCAAATTATTTATACGAGACAGAGACAATCTTAAGTTAAAAAGAATTCTGTAAGATCTCTTTTTTTAAAAAAATTTATTTATTGGCATATGATTAATTTGCTTATAATCAGAGTTAGGGCAAGAATAATAAAATCAAAACCTCTTGACAAGAGGGGTATGAACATCATACCAGCAAAAATCAAAGAAGATTTTGCTATCTCCCTTACCAAAGCTGGTAATTTCTGTGGTAAAATCCTAGTTCCTTCACAATGACAGCAAAACTTCCCCGACTTCATTGCAGTCAGGATGTCATTCAAAGACTGATTCCAATGCTCCTGACCATAGTGTTAGTGGGGATTTGGGTCAGAGTCCCGTACTGGATTGTGCAACATCAACTAACTCATATTATCAACATAAATGTTCAGATCTAGCTCAAAATCAATACAGTAAAATGTACTGGTTTTGAGAGTGCAAGAGCAAAAAGACAGGTAAAAATGTATCCTCCCCCTCACAATCTTCACATCTGAACACACATAACACTTGGCAAAGGGAAAATGTTGCTTACATAAAAGACTGATGATGATGTCTCTTCAAATTCTTCCCAACACTGCTTACTTCTATCTAAAATATATAAAATAATAGTTATAAATAGATTAAATATTTAAAACAACCTTAAGAAAGGTTGTTTAAAACACACAACTCAGAATTTTATCTTCTCTTCTGTGTTGAGCATTCACATTGATTTGTCCTGGCAAATAGTGAGAAAAGAAAAAGGGACAAAATAGCACAGATGTTGCCTACTTCAGCTACCCCATTCCTGGGTTCAGTTACAAGGCATTAGTATTTTGCTGAAACTTTAACTTCTCCAAAGTGCAAAGACAGTTCTGCTTATACCAGCTTCCTCAGAAAACTGCAGCTTACAAGGGAAAAATGGCAAGTGAAACATTAAGGTTAAAATAATGCACCACTATTTCAAAATGTCTGGGTTGAACTCCGACTTCTATGAGAGATGTATTAAGCAGACTTTCAATAGCAGAATGGTTAAAGATATTTGTATACCTGAAAAAGAAACTACGACAGGATTTTCAGATACGTTAACGCTTTTAAAAGCATCCTGCAAAATTATTTGATGTACCTGGGTACTTTTAGGAATCCATTTGCATCTTTAAATGCTCATAAAACCTGACTCTCCTTTCCTTGATGGCTCAGTTCTTCAGCCTTCCCTAATTCATGTGCTTTGCCTAAGGTCTGGTCTAAAGATAATTTAATGGTTGACAGTGAAATGAGAATCTAAATAAGGAGATGCTTGTGCACCTTTTGAGGATTTAATAACTTGTTCCAGAAAGGCATGACAATAAGATGGAAATGAACAACAGCTTCCTCTGTCCCAGAGAATGGCTCTAAGTACAGGAATGTGTTTTAGTTTGGCTCTGCTTCCTCTTCTTTCCATAAGAGTGTCGATTAAGCTCCTTGTGGTTGCCTTATTTCATCCAAATGACCAGAAGTTTTTCCTCATATCTGGGTAAATTCATTCTACCATCCGAAACATTCAGAAACATTCTGAATGATTATTCAGAATATTTTCAATTTAAATTTAATTAATTCAAAAATTTGATCTTACAAACAATCATCAAATTTCCAACAAGAAGGCACTAATATACTTTGAGTTGACATCGACAGCAGTAATTACCTTTGCACCTGAAGCTGGGCATCAATCCACATGCTCTTTTTCTCGTACATTTATAACTGATTTTCTTGCAAGACAAGTCTCCTCTATGGAATTTTGGCTCTGCTTCACCATTTACATGTTTAAATATTAGGAGGGGTACAAAAGGAATGGCAGTAGTTCAGATTACATTGTTCTGTTTCAGCTTTATCGGTCTTTTACTCCACAGTTCCAACTTGCTACAGTTGTTCTGCTGATTAATCAACAATTATTTTTATGATGCAAAATGAAATAAACTCTGTCATCTTCAAGGAGAATGAAATTGAGAGAAAAAAAATGATCTTCACATTCTGCTATCTTAATAGCAGGAGGCAAAAAAAAGAACTTGGGCAAGGAGACAGACTTGTTTTCAGAGCTGTTTTTTGAAGCTTCTTGCAAAAAAACAATTGTGCTTTATTAAAATGCAAACGACATAGTTGATCTACCAGAGAGGGATGGTGCAATATTGTTCTGTCTTTTCATGGCTAGCAATCCTATGCTGCTTTGCCTAATATGGAAACTGCACATGTCTTCTCCCTTTTTTTTTTTCTATGCTAAGTAAAAACAAAGGAATACATAAATATCAGACAAATCTCAATCTTATTCCATCAGACTGGTAGCACACATACCTGTCCACCCTTAAAGGAGAGATCCAGTCGAAACCACTGCCTCAGAGGAAGGCTGAAGCTGGTTTTCACTGCGAGATCATCTCCTCTAACGAGGTGCATCTGAATATGGACGTAACCTGACAAAGAAACGACGAGGTGAAGAAAAAAAAAAGGAAATAAAAGTTCACAGAAACACTGACATTAAGAATGGATAGATCTGGGGATGCGCCAAGCAACAGATCCACTCAAACAGAATCACAGGGAAACAAGCTCTGTATTTCAGGTGCCAGATGCTAAAGCATGGGCTCCCACAAGAAATCACCAGGTCAAACCAACTCATGTGAAGGATAAACTCATGCTCAATTAAGACAAACAAGGAGAGCACTGCAGCTGATCTCAGCCACCAGGGAATAGACCTGACTTGTGGCAAACAGCAGAGGGGAAGAAGGGGCATTGGTATCTACCAGTACATAACTGTCAGCACGCAAGAAAAAGCATGATGAACAGGTACAAGATGACTCTAGGCCCTATTATTTGGAATTGCAAAAATCAGACTCATGGCCTTAAAAACAAAACAAGCTATTATGTTAATCTAGTCTAATGCTGTGAACTGAACAGAATCTAGAACCTCTTCAACCAAATCCTATATCAAGCCAATAATTTCCTGTTGTCCTTTTGTGTTTGTTCTTCACAGAAAAGTTTTTCAGTGAAATAATACAAATAAAGGAAGAGGTATCACAGTCCTAGACCAACTGATTTTATTTTTTACTGCTTAATTATCTGGACCAGTAATGTGACAGAGGAAATAGAAACAGTAAAAATAACAGAAAGGAAGAGATTAGTGGTGAAACTTTTGAAAGGGGAAAACCCATAGTGTCTTGTGAAAGAACCAACTGCCTTGCAACCTTTTGGGATCAGGAAATTAGACTGAGCTTCTTGAACATCACAGTATAGGGCAGAATTTGGACTTTTGGACTTTCTCTGAGGCTATTCCAAATTTTCTTTAGGAAATCAGAACTGGGCACAACAGTACAATATTCATGAAGGCTGTCAAGATAAGACTGTTCAATCCCAGTGTATATTTCTGACCTGCAAGATTCAGCCCACCCTCCTGCTGACACCAATTGCTCTTCAACAGCAAAAGAGCAAAGCGAACACCCATTTCTTAAAATTAGCCAAGATTAAATGCTTATGCAACTATTTTTCTGTGTTACTCTACTGATATAGTAGCTTCTTTCCTTTCCAGACATAATGGACAAAAAGAGGCATTTTTACAAGCGATGAGTCTGATAATGCATTTTTAAATGTTGCTCTTAGACATAGATCTATAAAGATTACATTAGTTCTCATCAGAAGGCCTTTTACAATATTACTTACCTTCTTCATTTAGAAATACAGCAGGAGTACTATACATTTCTTTTGGATCAATAAAATAGAGTATACCACACAAATCCATTTCACAGTAATGCACTAAATAGAGCCAGATTGAAACGGTGAACCTGCATGAGCAAAGAGAAACAATGAGTCCATTCCTGATCTTCCTTTGGTTTCTAAAACCTCTGTAATTTGAAAAGCATCCTTTCCACTCGCTCAGCAAACCTGTTATCTCCACATGTAATCTTCAGGACAGGACACATCCTATACAGTAAAAATCTACAAAACTAAAGTACCTAAATCTGGGGATCTGTGACCTCCTCTTTCCTCTGCACTTTGTGGTACCAACTCGCAAGGAGAGGCAGTGTGACCTGAATCAATGCCAGAATGGCAGACTGCAGCTCTGGCCAGATGCCACATCAACAGGGAACTGAAAAACCAACTAACAAAACTGCCAGTTACCCTCACACAATCAGACTCCAGGAGAAAATCCTCAAATGGATGTTGTGTAATCTCAGAAATGGATGTTCTTGTGATCTTAATGGTGGAAATCTGTAAAAACCAAGGTATTGCTTCTTTACTGAATGCCAACAAGTGGCAATGTGTTCACAAAAGGCAGATAAAAATGAAACCGGCCTCTGGGTGGCAGAGATATGAACAGCTGTTGCAGAGTTAAAGGATATATAAAGGTGGAGCCTGTGCAAACTCTTGTTTGTGGTGAATAAAAGTTGTGGTGAATAAAAACCAAACCAAAGACCCAACAACGCTATCTATAGAGCAAATTCTGTACATAGCTGGAGTGATTTTACTGGTTTTAATGACATTACAAAGCAGATTTTCTGAGGCACTAACAGCAGAATTTAAACTACAGCTCTTGATTTTAAGGAGTTCTTCTGTGCCAGTGAGAACTGCCTCTAGTGCTATTAACAGGAATGCAACTGCTTATTTCTGTAACAGCAAAGTTAGGACAATGCTGAATGCTTTTGAAAATCCTACCTCCAGTGGGCTATAACCAAAGTATTACAATTATTATCATCTCCTGATAAGGAAGTTCTCTTTCTTTCTGACTTTTAGTAGGAAGACAAAATACGAGTGACAGCTCCTTCAAGTAAGAAAAATGTCAAGATTCGTTTATTTGTAAGAGCTTGAGTTGGGTCAGCTTGTCTTGTTTCTCCTTCAGAAAAGTTGCAAAGCATAAAGTACCATGTATTTTTACCTAAATTAAAACAAGGCAGGTCTGAAAGCCTAACAGCTGCTTTCCATTTAAGAAAAATGCGAGCGTGGTGAACTTTTCCCTAATAGAGTCTACACCTTCTATAGCTAACAATGCCACATCCTCCACAGGCAGTATGTGCGTGAGCTAGAAGGCTTTGTAAATCTTCATCACTTGTAAATAGAGCATTATAATCTAAAGGCAAACACTGTGCTTACAGAAATACTGATTATGCTTCCCATCTTCCATCATGGCAATACAAGATCGAACACCGTGGTATCCATTTAATCCTTGACTGCCCGTCTGAGCACATGACTGTTCCTGGACATACTTCTCGGGACAAAGAGCCTGGGAGAATTCTCACACATTTTACATTTTCCAATGCTGCAGAAGCCTGTATGGAGTGCAAAGGGCCTCGCACTAACCCTGCTGCAGTGTCTGCAGGCACCTACCTCAAATGGCAGCTGTCCATCTCCAGTCTGCTTTCATTACATTTAAGCTCATCTGCCATGCTAACTGATAGAAGAAAATCTGAACTGAAAAACTTGAGAGGGATCTTTTTAGTCAACTAAATCTCTAACTGAAGTCAAATGAGTAACAGAAATTTGATCCATCTGCATCTGTCTGCCTTTTGGTGCAATGGGCGGCTACCAATCACTCTGGACAGCTGACGGAAAAAGCTGTAGACCTCTCCTTGCCCTGCTCCACAATGAGCTACCAGTGGCCGGCATGCAGCTAGCATGCACTGGCAACGCTCCACACTAGGACTGCAGAGACAACCTTAAGACAAGATGGGGGGAACACGGAAAAAGCCATATAAATTCATGCTAAATATTCTCATCCAAGCCCGAGGCACCTCCGTGCCAAAAGCAGAACGCAACTGCACTGGGGTGCCAAAGGCAGCAGGGTGTGTAACCTCTCTGCCAGCCACCCCAAGAAGGCCAGAAACTAAAAACTGCTCTGTACTTGTGACTTCAGTGCATAGTTCGATGGTATTAGCTCCTAAGGAATCTGTTCTAGTTGGCACAGCTTTCTCAGCTGTCTCCTTGTGACTGCAGGCCAAAGGCAACCAGCAGACAAGCACAAGTTCCTGTGATCATTTCCTGTCTCTAAAAACGTTGCCAGCGGTAACTGCCTCTGCCAGAAGGGTGAAATTTGTCTGTTTGCTGCTCTAAAGTTGCAAAATGTGTCTGGAGAGTTATGGGGAAGGGGAGAGATAAGAAATCCTGGTCATCCTGCCAGCGCAACTCCTCCACAACCGAAGGGAGCGCAGGGCTTTACTCCTATACAACTAGGACTGTTTACCTGGGAATGGTAGAAGGATGCAGTATAAGCTCAAGCTAGATGGCTTGTCTAAGTAGGGACTCTACCACTAAGGGCTTGGTGCTGCAAAATAAACTAGAGTTTATAAATAAACTATATTTAAAGGGAAAAGACTGCTCCACACTGCCTGCCCTTCCAGGAAACCATGTTCCTCAATAAGTTTGCAAAGGGTGTTTGAAATGCAGGGCTCTCTGCAGTGCAGAAGGCCTCAGGCTAGGGAGTGAGGAGCCCACATGGGTACCAGAAGCAGTCTGCCTATGACAGCAGAGAGAAACCAACTTAGCCTCCTAACAGGCTGGGTACCTACCCAGCTGTGCTGCTCCTAGCCCTGCTAACAGTACCTACCCAGCTGTGCCACTTCTAGCCCTGCTCTCGTGCAGCTCTGCTCCAACATGAGCGTTGTTCTGAGGTTGAGCTTAACGCCTTCCAAAACTGAAGGAGAACAGAACAAGTCCTAGACAGTTTCTTTTCGAGATGCTTCTCACATTAGTAATTTTTTTATTGGTGATGTATAGCCTAAGAGCCTAAGGGCAGACAACAGCCTTTAATTATTAATTGCAACCAGCCTCAGTAATTTGCGTATTTGCGTATACTTACATTGGATAATCAATCTGATGTTGCCTGACTGTCTCAAGTTCTCTGTTTTCAAATTGTTCAAATTGCTTCACAATTCCTGTTTTCTCCCCACTGGATGCATATATGAAGTTAAGAATCTGGACTCCATCTGCAAAACGCAATCTTTCTTAGTCTGCCAGAAAACAAGCATTGAAAAGCACCCCTCCCATTAACAGCTCATGCTTGTACACAGTCAAATACATGAATCATGCAAGGCATTAAAAATTAATGCAAACATCAAAAAGTCCTTTAGCATAGGTTCACTCGCTATTTCTAAGTGCATTACAGTGTTGGTAGGGAATATCTACAGAAAATAAAGCATCATGGAGCCTATTCCCTGCCGCTATTTAGAAGCGGGGACTGAATGATTTAAAGCGAAGAGGAACTTAGTACTTAGAGGAACAGGGAAAATGTCTCCAAGGTCATGACATGTCATCAACTCTCCTAAAAAAATTAAGCAATTAGATATAAGGTATTTTTAACATTTTATTTGAATTCTTTTTATTGCCTCCTACGTCTTGTTCTACTGGCGTTTTATCCTTAGCATATTTAAGTGATGCATATGATAATTTTTCACAGTGTTCACAGCATTCTTATTAGATGTCTCCAGCAGATATTTTGGAAAGCCTCTGAAGGCAGTAACTTCCTTGTTTCCCTGTTTATCCTCAGTGTATTTACATGCCAATGTACTGAAATCAATTGAAACAAGTACCTTTAATGGCTTTTCTAGGAGATAAATGTTTGAAAAAAATAAAAAAGATGTAAAAAAATTGCTTTTTAGGAATGCTAAAATTGATGTTTTGTGTTAGCAACTTGTAAATGATATATTTCTTGTTCATCAGATGCTGGTTCTTTTTCCTTGAGATTTGTGTGCAGTTGAACAGAACTCAGAATTTCTGCCACTGAAGGAAGTCATTCGATATAACCGTATAATATTTACTGCAGGCATGCCCTTCTTAACAGCTTAAAGGTGTTAATTGGGCACCATTAGTTCTCTTGGAAAAGAATAAAGTGACACTGCACCTACCGCTTTCATGGGGGCACTGAGGTATCCTGTTTGCCTGGAGTGTCCACAGATAGTCAATGCCCCACTGAAGACAAACTTTGTGGTCTTTATATGGACGTTTAAAAGGTGGAACTGCTTCTAAAAAGGTGTAATTCCTGGCGACTGCCCGCTGATAGCTCCCGTTCTGCTTGACATCATAGCTGCTACCCGACGCGTGGCTAATCCACGCGTAGAGTATCACGCTGTGCACGATGATTGAGTTTCTGATGATATAATCGTCTCTGTAAACCATGATGCTTGGGAATTTCAAATGCACTTGTCGCGTTCTGCTAACATAAAGGCTCTTCTCGTCCTTCCATCTCCTTCTGTACACGGACACACCAGTCCTGAACTCCGAGGAAGCTACTGCTTCCAAGTTGACAATGCAAGGCTGAGAACATAAATAATGAACTGAAACCTCAGAGTTGTTATGGATTTTCTTTTCTAAAACATTTAAGTGAATGAAGTCCCCGTGATCCATTTTTCGTTCAAGCTGCGGAGTGACAGCTGTTGTCCGCGACGTCACCTTCCCAAAGGCTGGCAAAAAATTCTGAGGGGGAAAATAAAAAGAAGTTAATCACAGAGGTAAGATTACATGATTACTAATATATTCACAGCTACTATAGAAAAAGGAATAAGCAAAAAGTTTATATAGAGTCCTCAGGCTCCAAAATACAAATGTCCTTTCTGCAAGTAGTTATGGGTCACCAAACAGATGATGTCAAAGTTTTAGTGGTAACAAGTAGCTATATAGAGTTGAAAGCTTTATATGCTTCTACACACAAACTGTACTTACAGGGTGTATCCTTGTGCAAGCACAGTCAGGTTTCCTAAGATACTGACTTACACGTCACACTATTTACACATGTTCCCACAATCAGGCCTAAAGAACAAATACTAAAATATATTAGCATTTATTCTTGTACTGTTGTTCAGGTCTCCGACATCCTTGTGTTTCTACATATTTTGAAAAAAAAAAAAATTACCTAACTTTGCTACCTTTCATGAGGTTACCTGAAGAGCAGGAATAACAACTAAGGCACTTAGCACTGGCTCCTGGGAATGAATTCAGGCTTGCAAGGCACTAGGAGCTTCTTACAGGAATGCCCTTATCCGGAAGGTGCATTCCCAAGCCCGAGCAGCAAGGCAGCACACAGCACTTGCCCAGCTTCTGCTCTAGAGCCATGTAGGTTAGAGAGCAGATTGAGAGAGCGTGCCTTGGCGGGGCTCGACTCCAGGGCTATCCTCAGGAAGAAGTTCTCTTCTGCAAAGCTTCAAACCACTCGTACTGCTGCTCCGTGGGCAGCTGCAGGCTCGAGGCCCTGCCCATGCCCTGGGCTTGCCCAGCCACCGTCCTGCGCCTCCCTCAGCCTCCCTGGCCTGTCTGAAACAACCAGGACTCTCACTCAATACTGCCCGGGAAGCTGTGCATCGAGATTACTTAAAATGTGAAGATCTGCCTTCAGTGACTTTTAACTTGGTCAAACTTCAACAAATTGGATGGAAATTTATCTTGGATATCTAGCTTGGATTGATTTGTGGTTTCCACTGCAGTTCTTGAAACATTTAAAAGTTTCAGCCGAACAGTCTGTAGACTTCTCACAGAAGTAAGACACCATCTGAAGGACATGACCTCTTCTGCTTTTTCTTCTTAAAAACACGATGATGATGCTTGAGGACTGCGCTGAAAAAAAAAAGTATTAAGGTGGCAAAAGTTCAAAAGCTTCAAATATCGGGAAGAGCCAGAAATAACTCTGCCTGTTCCTACAAATGACAATTTTGCATTTAATGTTATGATCAGGTGCTGTTCTTCCCCTGAAACTGCTACATCCTTAAACACACAGGAGACCCCTGCACTGCAAGTGGAACATAGCAGTACATAGAATAGGTTATTTTTCCTAAGCTTGGCTTTACTTAAGGCAGAAGCTGGAAGACAGAACTGAGTGAAGGACCTTTTAGGACAAAAAGTAGGATACCTTTGCAGACAACTGGAGAGATTTATAGAGCGTTCCTAGTTCATATCCCTAGGAACTTGTCACTTAAACCAGTTTCCACAAGAACAACCAACTAGGCAATTTTATTTTCTTAGTGTCCAAAGTGAGGCACAGGCGGCCAGATGTGCATGGATGCTGAACATTGATGAAAACATGTGTAATCACCAAAATGCACACCTCAAAATGCAAACCAGTGCAATGTCAGGACATAGGCCAAGTACCTGCAAAAAGCAGACCCTTTACAGTACCAGCCTTCCTCCATCTCTGCCTCATTTCTCATTCTGTAAAAGTGATGCTATAAAAACCGAATTAACTTTTCTGTCACTAATGGGAAAGCACAGTAGAAACACTCATTTGAATCTGACAAATTTTCCTGCAGGCGAGAGTTCAAATGATATATATTAAGTGGAGCTAAATGAGGATGATAAAAAGGAAAAGTTAGTAATAGGAGAGGCAGCTCACTGCCTCACTGCAGCTCACTGAGAAAGTTACCACACCGTGGAATAACAAACACGCACAAAGAACAGCATAAAAGTTATCAGACAACCTTATTTTAACACTAATTCTAACACTTTTCAGGGCTGGACTGAAACTGCAGGAGCTGGAAATACAGGAGCTGACTCCCAGCAAAGACACCCTGGCTCTGGAAGGGTTCCTTAACTTCAATGCAGCAGTTTGTGCATGTGACTCTTCGTTTCCAGGCGAAGTCTGGCAGAAATTTTGCTGCTTTGTGTGCCAAGGATCTTGGAGTACTAAGCTCTGCAACTCAAAGCCAGTCCTGGGCAAAACAAGCTGCACATTCCCAGAGCACAAGGCGTGATGCACGGTGACTGCATACAGGCAACTTCAGTTGTTTTGGTTGTAGCAAACCAACACAGGTTTGGTGCCAGCTCTGCCAAAACCGCTTCAGCGGATCTGCCCCCAAATTGCTTCTTTGTGCTTGTTGGTGATGAACATATTAGACGAGACATATGCTGCAAAACATGCCTGGGTCTGGTGTTGTGCCACACCTAATAAACCCTTTTGGAGGCTCAAGTGGGAAGGAGCAGAGCGTGCAGGCCCCAAGCAGCTCCACGCAGATGCAGCAGCAGCTGAGACCAGTGGCAGCAAAATCCTCCAGCTCCTCAGCATTCCTTGCAACACGCGCGTCCCCAGAACTGCCCTGCTCTCAGGAGCCCTAGCACTTCCCTCACCATTACTTCAGATGATCAGACATAATCTTCAAAAGCTAAAACGAAAGGGTTACACAATGAGTGTGATTATGGGACTGAAATAAAAAAGGGTCTCCAATGTAGTAAATGGAGCCCCCAACTCAGGCCAGCTCTGCTGAATTAAAAATGTTTCCACAAGATTAAGGGCCAGAGCTCAAAAGGGAAGGTGAGGGGGCCTCCCTGTGTGGACAGCTCTAAGATGGACAACCTGACTGAAGGAGAAATCCACCAGCAGACACATCAGCTCTACACTTCACTGCCCGCCCCGTACACGCTCTGCTTCAGAAGGAGCCTCCCGCTGGGAAGCTGCTCTCGGCAGCCTCCAGGCCCCGCAGGCAGCGAGGGAGAGGACGGCACCTTTTCCATGCCTCTCTTCCAGCACTGACCGTCCCGGTAACACGGGGAGATTTTGTCTTCAGGAGTCTGATGACTCTTTCCACTTCACCTTCTCCCCAAGGCAGGGACGCAGCTCTGCACCTCTCATGGCCTCTGTTTCCAAGCCATCCTCAGCAACAGCCGGCCACTGTCCCCCGCCGTTGTACAGCCAGGCTGCACGGTCGCTGTACAACCTGCACCCGTGCAGGCTGTAGCTCCAGGGCACCATGAGCAGGGCGCAGGGCTGAGCCTGCCAGAGCTCCACCGCCTCTCAGAACCACTACAGTCGCATTATTTCTACGATGACACAAACCATACAGACTTTTTCTTAAAATCTCCCGAATGGGAAGTTTGCTTGACACATACCACTGGGAGAAAAAACACCATTCACAGCAACTGATGGGAAAGCAGAAATGACCAAACTGACAGAAATCCCGAGCCCATTCCCCTGCTCCTGGCGGGGCCCTCCCTGCGTTCGCCCTCCCACGGGTGGGGAGGGCAGGAACCCCGTGTGAGCAGGGCAGGTACCGGCACACGGGTGGGGAGGGCAGGCACCCTGGCACGGGGAGGGCAGGGACCCCGGCGCGGGCAGGGCAGGCACCCCGGCGCGGGGAGGGCAGGCACCCCGGCGCGGGGAGGGCAGGCACCCCGGCACGGGGAGGGCAGGCACCCCGGCACGGGGAGGGCAGGCACCCCGGCACGGGGAGGGCAGGCACCCCGGCACGG